TCCGCAGGCTGAAGGGACCGCCAGTTCCCTAAGGGAAAGGGCAGGTACAACTTACACCCACTCACACCCACCTGCTCTGCTCACAAGCCCAGCTCAGCGTCTTGCTCGGGAAAGCCCCACTGGCTCTCTGCTCCTAGGGGGAGCAAGAGAGCGCTGGATGGCAGCCTGTTGTGACGGTCAGCTGGGGGTCGAGCTCCCAGTAGGGGAGGGAGTGCGTCCCCTCTAACAATGGGAGAGGAACCATAGTGCTCAGCGTGTTTCATCTGTCCCCCAACAGTATCCACAATCTATACCTTAAATGGGGGTCCCACAGCCTTGCTCCCATCACATGCTGGCGCTTCAGTCGTGTCCGACTCTTTGTGACCCCATGGACTGTAGCCCACCAGGCTCCTCTATCAGTGGGATTCTCCAGGCAAGAATACTGGAGTGGGTTGCCATTTCCTCTTCTAGGGGATCTTCCCAACCCAGGGAGCTGAACACCCATTGCTTAAGTCTCCTGCATTGACAGGCGGATTCTTTACCACTGGCGCCACCTGCTTCCATCACCGAGCACATCAAATCCTTACAGGGCCCTCTACCCTCCACCTTTTGGAGGCCCTTTCCACCTCCCAAACTCTCCAGCATCATCTCCCCTTCAATTGTTAATATCATCAGTTTCTTCACGTTGCAGCAGAAAGACGGTAGGTTTGTAGCAGCCTGCCAACCTACTTCTAAGCTGGAGGCCTTGGGCAAGTTACTTGCCTTCTCTGTGTACCCCTCTCCTCCCCTAGAAAATAGGAGTTAGTAGTTCCTATCTCACTGGATTTTTGCTTAGTACAGGTGCTGAGCCCCTGGGGAAAGAGCAGTGGGCATTGTCTGGTAGTGGCAGCTTCCACGTTTACATAGCTAGAGAAACGAAGGCCCGGAGCTGGTCATTTCCTGGCTGAAGGTCATACAGCAAATGCACTGTCAGACCCCAGGAGTCCTTCTCACTGGTCTGAGGAAGTTTTATCCGTTTAAATGAGAATTTCCTTTTCTGGCCCCTGTATTGCATTTCCCATGCTCTCATTTTGGTTCCAAGTCTCTCCCCCTTCTCTTAACGGGGGGACATAGTACCTGGCACACAGTAGGTGCTTGTTAATGTTTATTGAAGACAGACTTGGAGGTGCATCCCAGGAGGTGATCCCCCTGTGTGCAGGGGGATCAGGCCGTGGGGGGGGGTGGGGGAGGGGGGAGAGCTCAGGATGTTTTCTCTGCACCCTGGCTCTGCCCTCAACCGCCCCCGGCTGTTGGCTGTCTGAGAAATCTCATTTGGCCACCAAGCTGATTCATGGGCCGGGTTCCCCGGTGCTCCCTGAGCGGCTCTCTTGTCAATAACTGTTCTTTACAAGCTCCCTTGACTCGTTTTTGGGGTTGAAGACAAATTTTTAAAGCAGAGTTCGGCGCCCGGGCCATTCCAGAGGGGCTGTTAACTTAATGTCCCGTCTTGTTCCCTCCAAGCTTCCTGCCTCTTGATCCCTATGTGGGTCAGGACCCGCCGTTTCCGGCAATTGCTTCTCCGGGTCCTCGCCTTAGAACAGGGAGGGTGATGAATGGAGAGAAAGGGACCCAAATGACAAGCCAGGGTGGCAGGCAGGGCTTGGGCTCTGCTGTTAGGGTGGCTGTGTGACCGTCGGCCGAGCGCGCCCACTCTCTGGGTCCTCGTTTCCCCGGTTGCGAAAGCATGGATGCAGACAAGCACCATGATGATCGCTTCCGCGGGCGCCCCTGGAGCGGCCAGCTCTCTGAGGCTCGTTTGGGAAGGCGATCTTGGTGTCAGTAGCATCTCATGTGTCATCCCTTCATCCTCACATGGGGTGATGCAGCTGGCAGATTCTTCACATTCAGGTCTTCGTGTTCAGGTAACACGTGAGTCAAACGCCACGGTGTCCACCGGCTGTCTGCTGCCACTGCCTTTCTGTTGCAGCCTCCTCCTAACTGGTCCCCTTGCCCCTCCAACCCTTCCTTCCTTCACGCAGAGCAAGAGGGAAATGATCTGAACCTCACGTCTAAGCCTGGCTCCCCAGTCCATTTTGAACCTGCTGGCCTCCATTCCTTGGCGTGTATGTTTTGTGTGTTTCTCCATCACCCAAGACCCATAGTCCAGGCACAGAGAAAGCACGTGCAGAGACAAGGCCGCAAAAGAAAGCCCCAGGGGTGTCACATATGCAGCCTCTGGGCCCCCACACCCACTGCTCTCCCTTTCAGGAATGCCGTTGGCCTTGTTCCCAGCAAACTCAGGTTTAGTATGTCTCCCCCTCCCTTCTTTGCGTCCTGCCAACCCAGGGCAAAGCTCTATCATCAATCATCCCAGGTGACCGTGGTCAGCTGATGTGTCCATCGTCCCTGTGGGGCTGAGGCTCCTTGCGGACCAGCCCACGGTTTTGCCTCCTCTCCCTGGCAGGGCCCAGTGCACAGTAGGAGCTTGATGTGTCAAATAAACGAACTGGACCCTCATTCCAGATTCCACACCAGCACCTCCCATGCAGACACACCCCAGCTGAGATGTTCATCCTTCCTTGATGCACACCTATGTCCCTCTTGTTTCTCCCTGAAACTCTGCGTGGATAAGTGGTGAGGTGGCAGAGTGGATGGGGATTAGTGGAAATAAAAAGGAGAGTCATTGAAATGGAAAGCCATTCATAGCTTGTGTCTGGACTTTAGTTACCAAATATTTGTTGAGCACTTGCCAATTCTGGGCACCATGGGTGAAAGAAACTGACAGAGAGCCCCCCTCCCCACCCCTCTAGGACCCTCTAGGAGGCCACCGTCAGGGCACATTGGAACAGCGGGTACCTGATGTCCTGGACACTCCAGTGGCACCTTCACGCCCAGCCCAGCTATGGTTCTGCCCTACATGGCTTTCCGGCAGCTCCCTGCATCCCTGCCACTGAGACTCACCTGTTCTTTGCTGCCAGCACATCTGGGTCAGAGCTAGCCTTCTTTCAGGCTCACGTGTTACCTGAACACGAAGACCTGAACGTGGCGATCTCCGTTTACTGACCATCTCTGCTTGCCGGGATCTGTGCCCGCAGCTTTGTCTGCTGCTAGGCACTGTACAGAGCACTTCACAGACATGATCTCATCCAGTCCTCACCCCAACCCCAGGGCTGCCCCGTCGATTGAGCAGAGGATCCTGGCCGGCAGTCTTCCTTTGGTCGTGGGCAACAGCTGTTTGGGGCAGTTGCCAACACAGCTCGTCCTGCCCCCAATCCCTTCTGGGACAGATGCAACCAGCTGGAGCCACCTGTTCAGGGTGCTGAAGGCTGGCCAGGGCACCTTGGCTGGGCTCTTGCTCCCCTCAGGCTTCCTGTGGTCCCCAGGGCTGCAGCCTGCACTGGAGAGAGGTCCCGTACGGCCAAGGGAGGCCATGACTAGGTGTGGGCCAGCCCGTGGTCCCCTGGGTAGGGAGGGGCTCACCCAACAGCCATTGCTCTCTCCCACCTGGTTTTGACTCAGAGACCCCCAGATTGTCCCCATCAATCCCTGGAGAAGAGAGGCTTCCCTGGGAGAGGTTGATGGTGACAAGGAGGATCACCCTCTGAAAGCTGGACTTAAGGCAGAGGAGGAAACTGGAGCAAGCTCAGCTGTGCACACAGCCCTCTCACCGCTCTCCTTATTTTTCTGCCCCCCTACCCCTCTCCTAGAGGAGGCATCTCTTTATGAGGGCACACTTCTGGGTCTACCATTCCTCCATCCCCATGTGAGCATCCTTCCAGCACCCGGGGAGTCTAAAGGGACGCGGATGTCGGAGAAGGAGGCACAGAACCACAGGTGGCTCAGCCGTGTTTCCACCTCACGTCGTTTAGTGTGACCTCCATGTGCGTGTGTGTACACGTGCGCGTGTGCACGCACCTGCACCGCAAGGAAGGGACACACAGCCAGCCACCAAGTACTGTCTGTTCTCCGGGAGCTGTTGCCCCACCCCCAGTCTTGTTGCCTCCGTTTATTTAAGAAAAATCTGACACAGTGGTGGGTAGAACCCGAGAGAAGGGCGGCCGTGGGATGGGGTCGGGGAGCCGCGGCTCCCTCTGCCTTGCTCATCCCACAGTCCTTCCCAGCAGTTGCCTGGTGCCCTCGCCCCCTCCCACGGGATGCCGCCTGGTGGGGGAGTGGGTGGCCACCCCTGCAGAAAGGAAGGAGGGGTGGGCGGAGCAGGAGGGGCGGCTAAGGCGTGGTGTTGATCTTGCTGAGGGGTGGGCGGGAGGCACCCAGGGCTTCTGGGCGCCCAGACCACAGTGCTCTGGGGTGGACCCACGACTCCTCCCCCTGAGGGCCTGCCCACAGCCCTTGGGGGCAGAGGATGGAGTCCTGAGATCTCAGAGAGGGGCCTGGCTTGACCCCAGCCTTCTCTATAGAGTCAGCTCCCAGATCTTAGGGAGGGACTGGGGGGGGCACCCGGAAGCCAGCAGATGCTACAAACATTCTCTGCTCCCCCCAAATGTTTTATCCACAGCAAGATCCTTGGCAGGGCAGGCAGCCGCTGCCTCCCCACCCTGCAGGACGGAAATCCCTGAATAGTGGTTTGAGAAAAGTCGTTGTGCAGCTTGTAACACAAGGCTCCCCCCAGAACCGCGTTCCCCCCCCCCCGCCCCCCTACATGGGGGAAGCAGGAGACAAGGGGGGCGGGGCCCTCGGCCCAAGCTTGACTTCCATGCCCCCCACTTGGGGCAGGGGGGCTGTCTAAGATGGGAGGAGGGTTGGAAAGGGGAGAAGGAAGGTTGGGATTGCTTTCCTCGTAGCCAGCTCCAGGAGGAAGGCGCCTCCACCTTTGGGGGCAGAGGAGGGTGAGGGTGAGGCGGGGAGGAAGGACCACCGTGGTGCGGGGGGCGGCCCTCCCCACCCGGGAGGAGCAAAGCTGCAGGGGCCGGACTATAAAATCCACTCGCGCCGGCCCACATCACATGTGAGCAGCGTCCCGGCTGAGACTCACACAGAGCCCACCCTGCCCTGATGGGGCGGGGGGAGTCGGGACCGCACCTCTACGCAATCTCTTTGATTCTGCGCATGTAATTGTGCAGGTCAGGGGGCGGGGCGGGCCGCGTGGTGCCCGCCACATCCGGGCAGCCCCAGCCCAGGTCCTCTTCGTCTTCCTCGTCCTCTTCGCCGGCGGGCACCGAGTCATAGGCCAGCTCCTCCGAGGGCAGCGTGGTGAAGGTGGTGAACTTGACCCGCTTGCGCTTGGAGGTGGGCGAGCTGGCGGGGTCCTCGGCCTGGTCCCGGGCCGAGCCGCCCGAGGAGCCGTCGCCCCGCCCGTGCACCTGACTCTGCACGCTGGTCTGCGAGCTGCCGCTGCTGTGGTGATCACCGTGGCAGCAGGCGGGCACGGTCTCCATTGGGTTGCTGGCGGGCGGCGACAGCTCGCCCTGCACCCGCAGCGGCTGCCCGTTGCCCAGGAACACCCAGTGGTGAGAGTGGTCCATGCTGGTCTGGCCCTCGGGCGGGATGCGCTTGTGCCGGTAGCGCAGCACAAAGACGATGCAGTTGATGAGGAAGACGAGGATGGCCAGGCAGAAGACGCCCAGCAGCGCGTACATGCCGATCTCCAGGTCCGTCAGCCCCCGGGGCATCTGCAGGAAGCCGGTGGGCAGCGGCAGGAAGTCTTCCGTGGGTGGCACAGCTGGGCTGACAGTGCCAGGGCCCGCGGCCTCAGGTCGGGGTCCCGCCGTGCCCGGCGGGCCAGCTCCCCGGGCCTCGTCCTCGCCCCCGCCGGGCCCTGGCTGGCTGGGGCCCGGGTAGTCGTAGGTGGGGTCCTCCTCGTCCCGCCCAAAGTGCACCCGCAGGCCCACGGGGGTCGTGGCCAGCACACTCTTGCGCTTGGTCTTCTGGCAGCTCTCGGCGATGGTGAGCTCCGCGCGGAGCAGCTCCCCGGCCCCCTCGGCTTCCGCCACCACCAGTGGAAAGGCCCGGTCCTGGGTCACCGTGGCCACGCGCTCGTCCAGACTGCTCACCAGCAGCCCGTAGTCCCGGGGGCTGTAGAGTGAGAGTGGGGCCGTGGTGCCATCGCTGTAGGAGAGCCAGAGGCTCAGGAGGGCTTCCTGGAGGTGGAGGAGCAGGAGAGGACAGGAGTCAGAGGACTCTTAGGGCTGGCTTCCCTGCTAGATCCTGAGCTCCCTGAGGGTGGGGCCAAGGTGCTCTGGCTCCCTGCTGTATTCCCAGCGCTGGAACAGAGCCTGGCTAGTGACCAGTGCTTGGAACCATTATCTGCATGGGAGTTCTTCTTTGGAGGTGGTGGAGAGGGTACATAGAAGTTTATAGACTTGTACTTCCCTGAGAATATCCTCACGCACTTCACCCTTCTCCCCTGGATGAGCGGATGGTAAATCCCACCTTGGGTCTAACACGAATCCTCCTTCCTGCTCTAGAAGCCACACCCCATCTCCATGCCTGACTTTGGGATCACCCCCAGCAGACACGTGGACATCGAGAATACAACATACTCAACCTCAGCCTTGTCCTCTGTGTCTTAAATCTCCTGAGAACTGACCTCCTTGTGGATGAAGAAGCAGGGCCCAGAGACAAGCCACTGGCCTGGGGTCACAAAGCAAGTTGAAGCAGAGAACTCCTGAGTCCTGACTTCTGGCTTGGTGCTCAAGACCCACCTTTGCCCTCCCTGTGACCCCACATGTAACTTTTCACCTTAGTCCCACGGCCAGTGTCCTGGTGTATCTGTGGGGAGGGGGAGCTGTAGTTGCGGCAGGGAGGGGCAGTCCAGAGATGGGGGAGGGTAATTCCTGGGGGTGGAGGAAAAGTTAATGGGCCCTCTGAGAATCCAGGAGGGAACCCTCCACTGGAACGCCTCGTGGCAGCAGGTGCAGGAAGCAGGACCTTGGCCAGACTCTTATGCAGATGGCAGGGGGTGGGGTGGGGCAGGCTTGCTGGGCATGAAGAGTAAACGGATCTTCCATTGTCAGAGCCCTAATCTGGGGGACCCACAGCCAGAACCTGCAGGTCCTCCTTCCACACTCCGAACCCCGAGGCTGGCCAGTTGGGCATTCGGTTACCTGCTTGAGGAAGCTGAGGGTCTGCTGGGCGGCGGCGGTGGCCAGGATGGTGTGGCTGCTCCCAGGGCTGGGTCGCAGGGAGAGGGCGAGGCTGGCCACCACCTGGGCCTGCAGCTGTGTGATGCTGACCTTCTCCTCCGTCACCGTCAGCAGTGTCTCCCCGAGAACGGACTCCGTCAGGGGGGACACCACCTGCAGCAGAGTGGGGTGAGAGAGGGTGAGAGCCAAGAAAGCGGGACCGCCCCCCCAGATCCCCAACCAGGGAGGAATCTGCAACCAGGAGGAGGGTCCAGAGGTAAAGTGAGGGTCAAGGAATCACAGGAGCACAGATGAGAGGGGTGGGTTGAGTTTTAAAGAAAGCAACAGCCCTCCCCCCTGCCCCCACAGTGGTAAATAGCAATTGGTGGTCAGCCTTGATGTCAGGGAGACAAAAGGGACTGGTGGGGACTGGGGCAAATGGGAGAATTCGTGCCCATGTCAAAAAGGCATCAGTACTGACTCCGGCTGATGACTGCAGGTCGGAATGCAGACCCAGTGTTGCCAGATTCATACTTTGTAAAATCAGAAATTTATATTAAAAAAAAAAAAGAGGGAAACCTCCCAATTTTTAAATGGTGGATCCATTGGTTTATAAACCAAGTATGTCTACAAGCATATTTCAGCCCATGGGTCACTATTTATAATCCTTTTTGTGGATGATATCTGCCCAGGCACCCAGTTATCAAGGAGGAAGGTCAAAGTTGAGTTCCTAGATCTCCATGATTTTGTTTTCTGGCCTCTGGGTTGGCTGAGCCCTTCCTCCCGCCCCCCCGCTCCCCATCCCCATCTACTCAGGGACCACATTGAGCCATGCGAGGTTGATGAGCCTGGGAGAGAGAGCCTTCACCAAGGTGAAGTTGACCTTGACCTTCGATGATGGAATTTCCAGCAAAAGGGCAGGTGGGGAAGCAAGTGTGTCTCGGGGGTCATCTGAGGTTACTCCCTGAGGCTGAGGTCCCAGAAATCCTGTCTTGGGGATGTCTGTATCATGGCACACTCCCTGTCCCATGCCTACCTTGAAGGGAGTGGTGCCCGGCTCCAGCCCAGCCAGCGTGCTGCTGTCTACCATGCGTGCCACGCGGGGGTCACCCACCCGCATGAAGTCGCTGACCAGGTCGGTGACCTCCACCAGCCAATCCGGGCCCAGCATGGTGACCACCTGGTCAGTGCCCTCCGATGATGTCGTGTGGAACTGGGTGAAAACCTGCAGGGTGGCGTGCTGGTACTGCAAGGTGCAGCCACGACTCGCGCTCTGGGGCCGCTCCTCCTCCTCATCCTCATCCTCGCTCTCCCGGGCTGACCTGGGTGGGAGAGGGCAGAGGTCAGGGCTCCCCACCTCGGCTTGGACCCGCACACGTCCCACTCTCTCCGTTGCCCCGCCGGCCCCTCCCCGGCTTCCGTGGGTGGAAGCCTGGGCTCATCCCTTCTGTCTCTGCCAAGCTTGAAGCCCAGAGCCCCAGGCTTTGCTCTCCTAGATGGGTATCTTCTTGACCCTCCCCATCCACTCCAGCTCCCTCTCCACCCCTGCTTGGCTGAATCCACACCTGTGACTAGCTGGCATCAAATATCAGCAAATACTGCCTCTTTCTCAGCACTGAGCACGTGCTGGGGCCTGGGCTCAGCTCTAAATTGGAGCAAAGGCAATCCTTGCTCAAGCGCCAGCAGGCTTAGCTGCCTCGTGTCCGACAGCTGTGTGGCAGGCAGAATTTGGATGTTTAGCTGATGAGATTTCCAAGCGGCATGTGGGAGGTGTGTCCTGGCTTCCTCTGACTGCTCACAGCGAAATGCAAGAGGAGAGGGATAAAGGGAGGGAGGAACTGGCAAACAAAAGGGAACCCAGACTTGACAACTGGGGAAATTCTCAAACTCTCCAGATTGCCAAAAAATGTGAAAATCAGGAGGTTCAGCCAGGAAAGCGGGCTTTGGAGAGAGAGAAGGGTGTGGCTAGTGCTTCAGAAGGATCAAACCACTGGAATATTCATTCACATAGAGGGTTCTTTAACTTATGTTAACTAATTTAATCCTCACAGTGGTCCTCTGAGTTAAGTGTTAATGTGCCCATTTCAGAGATGAGGAAACTGAGGCACAGTAGCCTCAGGTTGCCCAGTTAGCAAATGGCACCGTCAGGATTTCAATCCAGGCCATCTGGCTTCAGAATTCTGGTTAATTCTGATAACGAATGAGAGTCTGGCATGCTAACTAGTTATGAGACCCAGGTGGCCAGTGTTCAAACTTTATAGGGTTAGGGTCCTCACTACTCAAAGCAGTTTCAGCATCACCCAGAAGCTGACCTGAAATGCAGACTTACAAGCCACTTCCCAGGTTCACAGAATCAGAATCTGCATTTTAACAGCGTCCTCAGGTAATTCATGTGCAAGTTTGAGAGGCTCTGGTCGACACCGCCTTGCTTTTCCAAATCTCTGCAGAATTGAGCTGAGCCCAACTCTCACTGTACCACCCGCGTCTCTCCCCAGCCCCACCGCTCCCGCGCCAAGCTGCCTTGCCATCCTGCCTCTCTTCTCTCCCCTGCTGGCTTTTCTCTCCAGCAGCGATGAGTGGGTGCGCGAGCATGCTGTGTACCCATGGGCCTGCCCCACAGATGCGCACATATCCAGGTGTGTGAGCCTGGATCCCAGTGAGGGGGCCTAGTGTAAAGTCGCTGTGTGCCTGGCTGACGCACTCACAAGTGTGCCCCTAGTGTGCCCAGGCTGGGGCATGCATGTACAGTTGTGGGTGTGCCTGTGTTGGTGTTTCTGCGCCATTCTGTCTGCTCCTTGACTGCTACCGGGCCAGCTCCTTTTTCACTTATCCTTTAAAACTTAGCTCCAGAGTCACCTCCTCCAGGAAGCCTGCTTTGATTTCTCCTGGAGGAAGAGATGGATTTTTGCTTGGTGCCACTTGACTCTCTACACTCAGGGCTTCCCCCATCCACTGCTCAGCAGCATATATATATGATGGCTTCCCTGATGGACCCAGAGCTTGGCTGGGTCAGGCTCTGGCCACACTGACCCCCTCCCCCCATCAGGGCCTGGCACACAGTAGCTGCTCCATAAAAGTTTGTTGATTGCATAACCGACCTGCAGACTGTGTACACCTAGGGTCTTAACACACACATGCAGATGAGTCTCCCCAACATCCGTGGTGTGTGGCGGGGCCATACCTCCGGTCGGGAAGGATAGGAACCCTCCAGCCCTTCACTTGGCTGAGGCGGGCATCCGAGAGCTCGATGTGCAGGGGCAGCTTGGGCACCCAGACAGTCATTTCCAGGGGGGCGTTGAGGACGTCGTAGCGGAAGGTGACCCTGGCGTTCATGGACCCGCGGGATTCCTTTCCGCTGACAAACACATAGTCACAGCTGCTGGATACCTGGGGGTGGGGGGTGGGGAGAGAACCTGGTTGACCTATTTTGCCCTACAGGTCATCCTGGGGGGCAAAGCAGGGGAGGGACTTCATTCTAACCTGGAAAGTCAGCCAGAAGCCCATTGGACAGAGAAAGTGCCAGTCACAGGAGGCTGAAGGGGCGGGGCCGGGTGGGAGAAGGCTCCTAATTTAATTCCTCTGGGAGGAGGTGTCAGCCTTCACTGTCTCCAGAGATCATCTCTTAGTGGCTCCTGTGGGAGTTTTTTGCTCCCTGGCAAGAAGTCAACGTGCCATTCCTTTGAAAGGGGCTGCTTCTGATGTGCCAGGCCACACCAAGTCTGCAGGCTGAGGGTCCCCTGCACTGGCTCCCCTCCAGCATGACCGCCTGGGCTCTGGAGGAGGTGTCTGCTGGGCAGAGTCCTCCACAAGACAGAGGAGTCACCTGTCCTGAGCAGGACACTGGGGTGTGACTGGGTGGGGAGGAAGTCATGGAGGAGAGGGTGGCAGAAGGGCAGGCCCACAGCTCCTCCAAGATGCCTCTGGCCCTGAGGCTCCGGGCAGATGGGCCAGCTCGTTAATTTCAGGAAGGGGGTGGTTCCAGCCAGAGGTGGAGGTGAAGGAAAGAGAGCGGGAATTTCAGGACCAGAGAACCCTAAGCACAGACAGGTGGATGACTGCCACCAATGGGAGGGGATTTTTTGCAAATGCATGCCCACCGGGACACCACCTTGCATTCTTAGAGGTTCCCTGGGTGAGCATATGCTGGCTGAACACATCTTGGCGGACAGCTGTGCCCTCTCACCGAGGTGTCCATGCCAGTACTTCAGGGTAGATGCAATTGGTGTATGTGGAAGTGCCCATGCACACACCTGGCACGCCTGGAGAGAGTCCTGCGTGCAATGCATTTAGGTGCCTCTACCGGTGCACACCCGGGGTGCCCATCCCTGCGTTTGGAGAAGGGTGGATCAGGTAGCCTGTAGGCTGATGCCACCCCGAAGGCTCCAGTGGGGGTGGGGAGGGGGCTGGGACAGCGGCTCATCTGTGGAGAGGAGCCCCTGAGGTCCCAAGCTTCTTCAAGCTTTCTTAATCACCTGGGGGCGGGGGTGGGTGGAAGGGCGTGGGATGGCGACCCTGCCAGAAATGCTCATTTCCCACTTTGGAAGGCAGAGAATTCCAGCTGAAGGCTGGCAGATCCCATTTAGAATGTTGGCAAACTCCAGAAAGAACCTGGGCATATTTCGCTGAGACTGGAAACTAATTTCATTTAGAATCTTTGCTAATTCCCTTTGGTGTCTAAGCCACGGTGACCCTTCTGGTCCACTCTGGGGTGGGGCTGGGGGAGTCTGGCTGGCAGAGGAAGGGGCTGGGTGGGGGGCAGCCCACTTCTCCCCATCCCAGCCTGCCAGCAGTGGAGAGCCCCATGGGCCTGGGCAAGGCTTCGAGTCCTCAGGAGGCTGTGGGGGTGTGGTACCCAGCCATCTGCTCTGGCTCACTCTGGGGATGTTATTCCTGAATGCGGGGGAAGGAGAAGGTGCGCCTCGGGCACCCCCATTCCTGGAGGGATCTAGTACAGAGCGTGGAGAGAGAAAGCACACATTCTCAGGGAGGGAGAAGGAAATTCATATCCCTGGTGCCCCTGCTGAAGGATTTACAGGAACAGAGACAGATCCTGCTGCCTGATCATTTGATTTTGACACCAGCTGGAGGCTGCCATGGCAAGCAGCTCACCCACGCCAGGTACCAGAGCTGGATGCCTCTTGCATCACTGCCCACTCCATTGCCTTCTCCCCACATCTCACCCATGACTGCTGTCTAAAGCCAGGGGAAATCCGAAGGCCTTCCGGGGGGAGGTGGCAAACTGGGAGGGATGGCCTTCACTCCATGGAGGGTGTTCGGCCCAGAGGGGGTCTCTGGGGAGGAGCTTAGGGAGAGGTCTTTGGGAGTTGGAGGGATTGCAGTGGGTGTTCCCAGAGTGGGTCCTCTCATACAGCCTTCACTCCTGGCCTAACTCATGAGCTGCTGCTTCTTCATTTTTATAATATTTTAAATATTTATTTATTTTTAATACCATTAAATTTAATATCTAAATAATAGAAAAATAAAATAAATTTATAAATAAATTTATTTATAAAATAAATTATATTATTTTATTATCATATTAAGTATTATATTAAAAATAAGTTTATTATAAAATAAAATATAAAATTTATAAAATAAATAAAATAAAATAATTTAAATAAACGTTTAACAATGTTATTAAGTATTTTTAGTATTTATTTATTTATTTGTCCACATCGAGTCTTAGTTGCTGTGTGCAGGCTTCTCTAGTTACTATTCATGGGCATAGTTGCCCCACGGCACATGGGATCCTAGTTTCCCAACCAGGGATCAAACCCACATCCCCGGCACTGCAAAGTGGATTTGTAACCAATGGACCACCAGGGAAATCCCCTAACTCATGTTCTTCTGGAGGCTTCCACCCTGGGCTGGATCTCCATCTGTTCACCAGCCCGCAGGTTTAGGGCCTGTCTCCGAGTACCCCCAGGCCCTCCTCCCCTTTGCCTTACCTAATGTTTGCCAGACAGCAGGGCTCCGTAATGACTTGGGGACTGAATTCAAGTTGTCAATGCTGCCTTCTCCCGTCGGCCTGCCGGAAGGTCTCTTCTAGGACCTCCCCTTGCTCAGACTGAACATGGGATGCTCTCTCCCCCATCCCCTACCACTTCCCTCCTCTTGTCTACCAAGGGAACCTGTTTGAGATGTGAATTCCCCTCTGGGTTGGTGTCCTACTCCCCCTGAAGGTCTGAGGTCTTTTTCCCAGGGGCCCCCACCTCCAGGAAGCCCACCTTGATGATGTCCTCATTATCAGATTCGCATTCCACCAGGGCAGAGACATCTAGAACAAGGCCAGTCACCTCGATGGCGATGACCTTGACAGGGATGGCCACTGTCCGGCCCGTCAGGATGGCTGTGTTGATGATCTCTGTGTCCTGCAGGGAGGAGAGGAGGGCGAGCTCTGTGAGTTGCCTGAGATCCCCTGCTCTCCCAGGACCACCAGCCAAAGCCCCCAGCTCCTGGTTGCCCCCACCCCGCAGAGGCATGTCCTCCTTGGAAGGACACTGGTACACAGGCACAGACAGATGCATCCACCCAGCCTCATGCATCTTCTCTGATGCTCTGCTCCCGTGGACTCCCATGGGTGCCTTCGGGGTCTACCCCACTCTGCTGCCAGAAAACAATGCTTCCCCAATCCCGCGCCATCTTTTCAACATCTTCGATACTCATCCAAACTCAGAATAACATCCAGCACATTTGCCTGGTTCTTCCACATGCCCCTGGGCTGGCTCCACGTCCTCCTGGCCATTCCAGATGCCTCTGGGCTGGTCCCAGACAATCATTCCAGTGCACTCTCCTTAAAACTCATTGCTTCTTGGAACAAACTATTCCCTTTCCCATCGCTGCACATTTGTGCACACAATCCCCTGCCTAGAGCACCCTCATCATCTTCTCTGTGTGAGCTCTTCCTCCATGAGCCCTTCAAAGCTCCACTGTATGGTCACCTCCTCCAGGAAGCCCCCCATGGTGACGTCTCTCACCTCCGCGCCCCTCAGCAGCCGCTGTCCCACTCCAGCACCGGGCACAGAGCTTGCTTGCCTTCTGAGAGGGCAACTCACCATGGCCAGGGGCAGGATGGCCTGCACGTCCCGCTGGATGACTGTCAGCTCGGTCACGGCCCGCTCCAGGTCCGGCAGGGCTCCGTGGCCCCGGTAGTCAATGTGCCACATGATCCTGCGCTTGACTGACTGGCTGGTGAAATTCTCCATCTCAAAGTCCAGCTGCAGAATCTCCAGGGGCCCCTGGCCCTCCCTGAATGGTGGGGGAAGGGACGAGAGCCCAGGAGGAAGGGCTGGGAGCAGCTCCGGAGCTTCGAAACCCTTGCTGGGGACTCTATCCCTCGTTGACGGCCTGCCCCGGGGCCCTCTGAGCCTTCCCCAGCCTGGGGAGTCCCCAGAAACTAAGCCCCAGGCCTTCTGCCGGCTTGGCCTCCTCCATCAAGACTTCCCCTCCCGCTCCCCCGTGGTGTCCTGCAAAGAGCTGGACAGAGGAGCCCCCTGGCTCACCAGGGGGGCAGTGGTGTGCCCTGGGCCCAGGACACATCCACGGTGGCTGTTGAATGCTTGGCCCCAGTCAGCAGCTCCGAGGTCACATGCCATTGGCCACTCCGTGACTTGGTTCCTAGAAGGGTCACGCCCTTCTTGGCCTTCACCCTGGGACAAAGCAGGAAGAAGAGGCAGAGGGTCAGCCTGGGGTCCCAAGGCTGCCCACCTGGCTGCCACACTTAGGCTGGGGCTGGGAGAAGGGGGAGTGGGTGAGTAACTTACCCCGAGTTCTAGACTCAAAGCTTGAAACTAATCTGGGGACTCTGGTATCACATAGCTGCAGCCTCTGGCCCTCAGTGGGAGCTGTAGTACCTTCTATTATCTCTCTCCCAGGTCTTGCCATACCTCTATTTGCATACCTTAGTGACAGGGGGCTCACTACTTCAGCACACATCACATTGCATTTTCAGAAAGCCCCTAAAAGGAGAAACCTCTTCCCTATATTTAGCTGAAATAGAACAGTCAGGGGCTCTGTTGGGGCAAGGGAGAACAATTCTCCTCCACCCAAATAGACACCTGGGGAGGTGAGCAGGTATTCTCTGAGTCTTCTTTTCGTCAGGCCTTAAAATCTTCAGGGCCTCCAACTCTCAATTTTGGACATAGTTTCAAGTTACCCATAGCCTAGGACACTCTGAGATATATCTAAATTGTAGTGTCTTCAGCGGTGCTCTAATTAACACTAACTAAAGCAGAATGATTATCACCTCCCTAATTCTACACGCTCTACTCCTATTAATGTAGCCTAAGATCTCTGAGGACTGATTTAACTCACATTCACATTCAGGTATTAATCACTGAATTAGGTATCACCCTGGGCATGGCAACCCAGTCCAGCACTCCTGCCTAGAAAATCCCAAGGACAGAGAAACCTGGCAGGCTGCAGTCCATACGTTCGCACAGCGTCGGACACAGCTGCAGCTTTCCCGGAATATCTGGACTTCAGGGTAGTACATTTAGCAGAGAAGGCTGGATTAAGGGTGCTGTTTCAGGCCCCATGTATCGTGCTTGGGTTGGAGGGGAGCATTTTGGTGGGGCTTTTCTTATATCCTCAGAATCACTCAGTAAAGGCTCAAACCACAGGTTCTGCTTGTGAGACGTCATTATATTTTGTGGGGATGTGATATGATTGAAGGCAATTCTGAATCTGTGAACTGTATCATTCTCAGGGTGTAGAAAAAGCTGGGACTCCCCCCAAATTTTCTCCCAACCCCAAGATTAACCAAATGTCCTGACACATGGACACTCTCCTGTTCTTATTTTGGCTTACAGTCAAGGGGCTGCTCCCTGATGTCCATTTCTCCTCTTTGGCCTCAGTCTCATTATTTGTAAAACGGGGGAGTTGCACCCACTAATGTCTAAGGGCCCTTCTAGCCCCAGTTCTATCATTTTGGATGTCCTTGTGTTTCCTCTCTACCATGACACTAAAGAAAGCTGAGCGCTGAAGAATTGATGCTTTTGAACTGTGGTGTTGGGGAGGACTCTTGACAGCCCCTTGGACTGCAAGGAGATCAAACCAGTCAATCATTCTAAAGGAAATCAATCCTGAATATTCATTGGAAGGACTGATGCTAAAGCTGAAGCTCCAATACTTTGGCCACCTGATTCGAAGAACTGACTCATTGGAAAAGACCCTGATGCTGGAAAAGATTGAAGGCAGGAGGAGAAGGGGATGACAGAGGATGAGATGGTTGGATGGCATCATGGGCTCAATAGACAGGAGTTTGAGCAAGCTCCGGGAGTTGGTGATGGACAGGGAAGCCTGGCATGCTGCAGTCCATGGGGTCGCAAAGAGTCAGACTCGACTGAGCAACTGAACTGACCAACCATGACTCTATGTCTGTGAGACAGGGAGGTCAGAGTTGATATTTTGTGGCCATTAGGCAGATGAGAACATTGAGGCTCAGATCAGTGAGCTGCCTTTCTGAAGTTGCTCAAGCGATAAAGGGAAGAACTGAGATTAGGATATTGGAGGAGCAGGTCTGGGCGCACCCCCTACAAGGTTTTCAGGTGCACATCAGGCCTTGGGAGGAGGCCAGCCAGCTCCCCTCCCACCCTCCTCCGCCCCACACCCCACCTCCCAGCCATAGCCTCCTACCTCAGAGTGAAGTGCTCCAGGCTGGGGCTGGAGGGAGAGGAGGAGTTGGGGGCCAGGTAGAGGACGATGCTGAGCACCTCGCCCGGCTTGAGGGGCCGGTCCGGCAGCCGGATCATCAGGTTGCTGTCCAGCCTGTGCTCCTGAAGGGTCCTCCTGGGGGGCGGGCGGAACAGGCTGATGCTTCCGATGCGCAGCAGCGGGTGCTGGGTGGGGCTCTCGGCCCGGGCCCCCGCTCCGGGTCCGGCGCCCCGGCGGGTCCCCCCACAGCCCCCCGACGCATCGGGGGCATGAAGCGTGTAGTAGAGCTCGGCTTGCTGACTCTCCCCGGTCGCCTCGGGCTCCAGCCCATCCGGAGACTTGCGGCGGGCGCTGGGCGGCGCGGCCGGAGCCGGGGGCCCGAACCAGGCCAGGGGCAGCTCGGCCCGCACGAGACAGGTGGCCAGACCCCCGCTGAGGCGGCAGGAGCTCTTGACCTCCCGGGCGTCGCGGAAGGCGTGCAGGCGGACGCAGGGCAGCCGCTCGGTGACGCCGAAGTCATCCCAGTCACGGCCGGCCACGTAGAACAGCACCTGGGCCACGGGCTGCGAGGCGGGCACGCGCGGGTGGACGATGAAGGCGCGCACCTTCCAGCTGACCGTCAGGCGCTCGGGGATGTCCAGAGTGCTGGACGGCTGCAGGAGCTCCCGGGCCACCACCTGGCTGGTGCTGAAGGGCCCCAGGGAGACGTTGAGGACGGGCAGCTCCTTGGTCTGGAACACCACGAAGGGCTCGGAGCGCTGCAGGGAGCCGTTGGCCACCGTGGGCGGCGGGGGCCGCGCCTCGCGCAGGAAGAAGGCCAGTCGCGTGTGCGACAGGCGGTAGCTGATCGGCAGCACCGGGCTGGCCTGAGGCCCTGGCGGACTGGGGCTGGCCGGGTGGGAGCGGCCAGAGGCTGGGGACAGACAGAAGAAGAGCCCAGAGTGGTCAGGGGAGGGGGCTCTCGGACCCCAGGGCGCCCCAGCCTCTCACCTTGACAGAGGGCTGTCCACTCCCCACCACACCCTGCTCTCCATCCTTGTGGCTCCAAGCCTGGCCCCACCTTTACTGGTGTGTTAATTGCCCTCTTTGCAGATTCCTTCATCCGCGAGGTAAGGGTAAAGCTAATCCCTGTATCAAGCGTTGGGAAGCTTTAAAGAGGCTTTCTCCTCAGGCATCCTCATTTGTAAAATGACTATAAAGATTGTTTCTGCCTCCAAGTGCTCTTGTGAGGACTTACCAAAGTCATGTGTGTGGAGGGCCCAGAGCAGAGTGTGGTGCTGAGGCAGTAAGTTTTCATTCTTACTGTTATTAATGGTACAGTGCAGTACATATTACCGGCTTTCCCAGTAGCCCAGCGGTAAAGAATTCGCCTACCATGCAGGAGCCTCAGGAAATGTGGCTTTGATCCCTGGGTCAGGAAGAGCCCCTGGAGGAGGCCATGGCAACCCACTCCAGTATCCTTGCCTGGGGAATCCCACGGACAGAGTAGCCAGGTGGGCCAGAGTCCACAGGGTCGCAAAAAGTCGGACATGACTGAAGTCACTTAGCACGCATGCCCAGTACATATTTAATGGTTTAAAATTGTTTATAAAATCAAATGATTGTTTGTGCATTATGATGACAGGCAGTGACTTATTTGATCCTCCGATCGAGCCTTTGAACCAAGTATTATTATGATCTCCATTGATTCAACCAGTTTTCTATCAGCAAGTTCTCTTTTTTGAGAGCCTATACTTATCTCTTACAAATGAAGGTGCTAGAAGCTTAAATAACTTATCCAAGTCCACATGAGTGAAAGGGGCCAGCGGTAGGATTCGAACCTGGGGCCACCTGGCTTTCAGACCCAAGCCTTTATGGCTTCAGCTGCCTCAGGTGGTGCAGGGTCCCCAGGGATTCCACGTGCCCACCCCGCCCCCACCTACTCCCTGTATGCTTACTTACACCTACTCCATGCATGCTCAGTTGCTAGGTCGTGTCTGACTCTTTTGTGACCCCATGTACTGTATTTTTCTAGGCAAGAATACATGAGTGGATTACCATTTCCTCCTCCAGGGGATCCTCTGGACCCAGGGATCAAATCCACATCTCCTGCACTGCAGGTGGATTCTTTACCACTGAACCAACTGGGAAGCCCTACCACCCCGCAAATACACACAGGGAAGTTGACTGCCACCCCCCAAACCCAAACATGGGTCTTGGGGTCTTGGGCTTGACTTTTCCCTCCTCTTGGCCCCTCTCCCCATTCTCGCAGGATTACGCCAGGTTCTAGCAACTCCACCTCTTGGTGCTCTGTTTCTGCGTTTGAAAGCCAGGTGGGCGCAGCTTCAAATCCTACTGCTGGCCCCCTCCCCAGGTTCCTGCTCCAGCTTTCGCTTCACTCTTGTTGTTATGACAACATAACAGCATCTAACTGTGTCTGTCCTCTCTGCAGCTCTTCTCTCATCCCTTCCCTGCATCGCACCCAGAGGGATTTGCTTCCTCCAGACACCAATTCTTGGCTCCTCATTCCCAGCTCAGCACCTGGTGGACACTGTCAGGGGACAAGAAGGACCAATATGGGGAGGTTTGCGGTTTGAGAATCAGTTCTGGATCTTCCGATAGACCTCTGAGCTGTGTTCTTCGCTTTTGATGTTGTGTTGTTATTTGTTTTTGAGAATCAAGAAATTCCCCTGTAATTCATGCAACACAATGCAAACGTTCGTACTATTAAAGACTCTCTGCTTACACAATAAAATTCAAACTCACCTTGCACCTGAGCATGGCATTCAGGGCCCTCTAACAGGGGTTCTAGGCTTCCCATTCCCCAGCATTCCTTCCCAAGCCCCTGCTGCTAGCATAACTGAACAACTTCTGGCTTTAATGCTTGCTGATGCTGCCTTCCCTGGAGAAGGGCAGGGCAACCCACTCGAGAAGTCTTGCCTGGAGAGTCCCATGGACAGAGGAGTCTGGCAGGCTGTCCATAGGGTTGCACAGAGCTGAACATGACTGAAGTGACTTAGCATGATGCTGCCTTATCGCAACTCCTATGCTCATGCTGTGCCCTCTGCATTGGATTCTCTCCTTTCCTATCTGCCCACGTCCAAATCCAAACCTTCCTCCAAGGCCCTGCCTGAGTGGCGCCTCCTCCACGAAGCCCTCCAAGATATGACCTCTACTCCTGGGAATTTCTTCAGAGTTCTGCCCTTCTCTGTGGGGACCTCTCATCCTGCCTGGCGGGACAGTTATCTATGAGGCCTTGCACTCAGCAAGCCTTTAACAAATCACAATTGATTTACACTGAGTGATTCACAGAGACCTCGAGCCCAAGGAGGAGACTCCTAATTGATTATGTGGTGGTTACTGCCACTTATGCATATTATTATTTTACTACCATCAATGAAACCTTGACAGTTCCACAAACATTCACACCCAATTCCTCATAAACTCAATGAACTAAAAATTCCGTGCTCTTGAAGATCTGATGTCCGTGTCTGATTTTTTATTTAAACCTGTGGTTTAATTTTCTAATTTAACAAATGAGGCAATTAGCTAGGGGCACGACAAAGGCCCTGGGTCAAATGTCCTAAGAGGAGTGGGACCTGGTGTATGTGACTCTTTAGGGCCCCTCCCAAGCAGCCCTTCAGATTACCTGGGGAAACCTCTGGTCCCTGGTCCTCTGGACAGCCTGTACTTTAATCGTCAGACTGCTCCCTCCGTTTCCAAGAGAACTCTGTTCTCAGGCCACCCTTCCCCACTAGACACTCTGTAGTGCTGCAAGGTAAGCCAGTTGCCAGTGATGGGGTGGAGTTGGGGGCCGGGTCCCAGATGAGGATGGGAAGGTGTCTAGAGAGATGACAGAGCCTTCCTGGGTGGTGCCTGGAATCCCTGCTCCATGGTTACCACTGGAGTCTCTGAGTAGGTGTGTGTGTTGGAGGCTGGTCCCAGGCACACAGCTGGGATCTGGGATGGTGACCTGGGCCAGAGCACACAGCCGACCAACTGCTTTGGAAGTAGCAGGAAGCAGGCAAACAGAAGCTTCGAGACTCAAATTCAAGGCTTATTCTCACCACACTCAAACGGCAACTTGCTTCCCATTCTGAGCCTCAGTTTCCATCTCTAAAATCGAGGTGGTAACATCAGGCCCCTCATGGAGATGTTGAGGGGAGCTGAAAGACCAAGGGGCAGAGGTGGGGCACTGCTGCATGTGATGGGATATCCAGGGCCTGTGGGTACTGAGTCGAGATGGGGAGAGGCCACCATGCCCGTCCTGCCGGGGTGGAGCAGGGCAGTGGCTGTCACGACTCTCATGAACTCTGCGTGCTCACGCTGGGTGGACAGGGCGGGGACATGGGTGTCAGAACCACCAGTCCTGCCTCGCTTCTCATCCCCAGGAGACTCCGAAGGCTGCTAAGTGGCACTTAATCCCCTTTGACCCACTCGCGGTCCCAACCTGAGGGCGGGTCATCTGGACCCCTTGGAGGCACAGTTGGGGCGGGACCGTCAGACGGGCAACAGACTCAGAGGAGCGTGGAGGAAGCGACTGGGAAAGCATGCTTGCCTGCCCTCCCCCACCCTCATCGGATTTTAGTGGGACCAATGCAGTACTCTGAATGAACCTCTCCGCACCAACTGGGAAACCGCGGGCTAATGAGAGCACCCTCAATGGGGCTTCCAGGGGAGACCTGATGGCCAGTGGGCGGAGGGTTGCTGGCCCTAGGCTTGGGACTCTTGATCCTTCCCAGCAACCCTGCAGATAAGGAGACTATGCTTCTGAAACAGGAAGCAACTTATCTTAAGAAACCAACTAGCATTTAAAAAAGGGAGCCAGGAAAGGTAGTGTTAGGTACCACAGTTTTGGTACTGATGGCATCATGACACACAAACATGGCCCCCCCCTCCCATCACCACCGCGAATCATTCTATCCTCTGGGGCTCTGAGGACTTTCTGTGGGCCGAGCAGGGATGGAGGTGTCTCTGAAACCCCTGCGCTAATCTCTGCTCTCCGGCTCACTGACTCTGGAGCCTAAAGGAGGTGGCTTGATCTCACTGGGCCCCAGTTTCCCCAGGGAGGTGGGGAAGGCCCTGGAAGCAGTCTGGTGGGGCTGCAGGAAGGGGAGACTGGTGGAGCTGCCAACAGATCAAATTTTCAGGGACACAGTGTGTGAATGTGCATGCACACGTGCATGTGCCGATGTGCATGCTGGCCTCCATCGCGAGCTAGGTCCTGAGGTGGGGAGGGGTCCTGCAGCGGTGGATGAGCCGGCCTGGATTCACCCTGCCTCGGAAACAACTCAACTCCCTCCAGACTAGTGGGAAGCACACACAGGCGCGCGCGCACACACACACATACACACACACACACACTCGTGCTCATAGAGAGCCAGGCACACACCTGTCTGTCAAGCCCCATAGCAGGCACCCCTTGACAGGTGGCTCCGAATCCCTGCTGCCCTGGCCTCTCATCGGTTCTGCTCGACTTGCCACACCCCAAACTCCACCTGCTGACTTCTGATTCGGCTCGGCTTGCCCTGTGAACCAGAGTATTGTCTTTGTGTTGGTGGCCTCCCCTTCCCGAGCAGCATCACTTGAATTCTCCCCTGCCCACCCCATCATCTACACAGCATTGGGCCTAAGGAATGATATGGGTCTGCCCCCGACCCTGTTTCTGTCTCCCTAGGAAGGCGGTTCTCCCTGTCTCGTCATATCTCACGATCAGCGTTACGGGCTGAGTTGTGCTCGCTCCCAGGTTCATACGTCAAAGTCCTAACCCCCGGCACCTCCAAATGTGACTGTGTTCAGAGATGGTGATCTTTGAAAGAGGTGATTAAATTAAAATGAGGTCATAGGGGTGGGCCCTAACCCAATAGAACCGGTGCCCTTAAAGGAGGAGATTAAGATATAGCCATGGCTGATTCATGTCAATGTATGGTAAAA